TACTAGACCACTGCTACCACTACGGCCAGACTGAGCTCCCCGAGCTCCACCTCTAACACCACGGCCCCTCGATACTGCAAATGCTGATCTATCAGAAACATTAGAGTTCTCAGTAGATCCAATGGAAATCCTCCGAAGTCGAGCAAACACCTCTTCTAAGAAAGGGAGAGTTGACCCTCCTAGTATCTGAGCCCACACTGGTTCATACTCAGATTTCAGCCCCACCAAAAATCGAGTCACATTAAGTTGTTCTCTCTGTTGTTGCTGAATTTTGACATCAGAAGTGAGGGGGTGATAAACATTCAACTCATTACGAATGTTTGTCATACTAGCATAGTACTCCTCAAGACTCTGATTGCCCTATTGCTGATTAAAGTATTCCTGATACGGCTGATATACTCTGGTTGTATTGTCTTGACCAGAATACAAATTCTTAGCATGGTCCCACACATCTTTGGCAATGTCAAGAAACATGAAACTTACACTAATCTTGGGTTCCATACTGTTTCATAACCACGTGATAATCTGTGCATCCTCTTGTTCCAGTCATCATACTCATGAGAATTAGTGGAGGGATTTTCCTCCCTTATGTGTTTCACCTTCTTCTTTGCCTTCAAAAGAAAACTTCTACAGATTTGGCCCAAGGTACATAATTCTCTCCATTCAGTTTAATGGAGGTCATTTGAACATTCAGGTAGTCAATAGGTATAATCACATTAGATTTGCTATCACTGCTATCTCCCATTGCTGAATTCGGCACACTGCACACTAGACCACACCACACACTGATCACATTGGTTTCAGCACTTGTTATTGCTTAAGATTGCAGTCTTTACACCACAAACCCTACCCCACGACTACCTGAAATCTCACCACACTATATGAGGACCACTCCCCTTTGAATCACGCTGAAAACAGCATAAATCCTAGCACACTACAGTTTGAAATCCTACCATACGATCTAAAACATACTTCTTATTTGATTCATAACAATAAAATGCAAAGAAATCTCTTACCTCATTACCTGAAATTCAAACCACACAAAAAATTAGACCACACAAGACACCCACTGCACCACACGAATCAGTCCTCTTCTCTTCATCGATTAGGGGAGGGCTTCTTAGAAACCACAACAACCGACCACGAACAGCACAACTGGAGGCATAGAGACCTCCAAGGGAAGAGGGTGACCACTCCTTTTCAGCCCTTTCCCTTATCTCCAACTGATGGCAAAGAAACCAAGAGAAAACCCTAGACTGGGTGCGCAGAAAATAGAAATCTGGGAAGATCCGAGTTGCTTAGTTGAGCTCTGATACCATATATGATTCGGCCTGCCCTTGAGTTCTGTTAGTCTGATAACAGCCAAGAAGAGAGAAGAAGAAAGAAGAAAGAAAGAGAGAGAAAGAAAGGAGGAGAAAAGGAGAGAAGAAAAGTCTGGTTCAAATGAGAGAAAAAATTACCTCTCCTATTCGACCAGATATGTTTTATATTACTAACATAAAGACACATGTGCCCCTACTTAAGTGAGGGACACTAGTTTTAACATGATATTTCACATTAGCAACCTCAACATAAGTATAATGACAGAAATACCCCTACATACTCTGGTACTCGACGCTAACAGACTCCAAAGCTACTCTACTAGGTGGTCTAGGACTTCGATTAGGTGTACCCAACAATTATATTCCATTCACCTCATGGCCACTCCCAATCGTCCTTTGAGATTTCAAATCCTAAAAAACAAAATTGGTAGGGAAGAAGGTTATGCTACAATTTATTGATTTAATCAAGTTAGTAATAAATTTAATCAAGTTAGTAATAAACAAGGGATTTAGAGGCTTTGATATTCCCTTTGTCGGAGATGGGAGCAAGAGACCCATCAACAAGGGATATCTTTTCTCTACTAGAGATGAGCTGATATGAAAACAAAAAGATTAGATATGTTGGTCATATGGTCTGATGCACTAGAATCAATAATCTAAGGGATTTTATGATTACCGAAAGTAGTAGCATGATTTATAGAAGCATGAGTACTTGGGCAAGCAAATGTGGATGAAGAGGTGTTTCCTGAGGAGTTAGAAGCTGCAACAATAGTCTCCGAATGATTAATTAAACTCCCATACCTTTCAATTTCTATCTTCATTGTTGCTAGCTGCTCCACAACAGATTTTTCTTCACTTTTTCTATTATCTCCTTCAGGTGTTGTAGCAACATTTGCATTCTTGGCCTTTCAAGGCTGACCATTCTTCTTAAAGTTGTTGTTCCAAAACCTTTTTGGGAGAAGATCCAAGTAAAGTTTCCAAAAAGTGTTGTTAGTGTATTTCAGTTTCTTGATTCACATATCACCTCTTTCTTCTTAGTCGGCTCCTTTGGCTTTATTCCAACATGTGCAAAAGGCTCTGAAGGTGGTCCCTGTAACTGTACCTGCCGCTTACTCTCTTCAGTGCTCACTATAGAATATGATTAAGCAAGGGTAACTTCATCTTTGGCTAGAATATCCCGTCTTTGTAATGTCAAACTCAGTGTTGAGTCCTGTAAGAAACTTGAATGCTTTGTTTCCCTCCACCAATTTTCCAAATGTCTCTACATCCTTGGTACTCTCCCATACAACTATCTTCATAACATCTATCTCCTACCACAGTGACTTCAACATAGAGTAGTAGACAACTACACTCTTCTCCCCCTGTATCAGATTATTCACATCATTCTTCAACTTATAGGCTCTTGCAACACTCAATTTCTGAGAATATCTTTCTTTGATACTATCCCTAATCTCCTTGGCCGAAGTCATCTAGAGGTAATGCTAACTTATGTGAGGCTGCATAGAGTTGACTAAACCACCCTATCACTATGTAGTTCTCCTGCAACCATTTTTTTATATGTAGGATCAATCTCTGCCAGTTTCTCCTTACTGCCCATGAAATACCTTAGTTTACCTCTTCTACAAAAATAAATCCTTATAGATTGTGCCCATGCCAAATAATTTGTTCCATTCAGTTTGATTGTAGTCACTCCAATCAAAAAGGAATCTATGGGACCAACCTTGGACATCGGGACCTACTTCATCTCACTTCCAGATTGCTCCATTGACCAAACGAAAATCCAAAACACAGTTTTCAGTCTTTATGGACTAAACTGAGGTTAGCTTAATACCTAAAATTTCCATATCTTGGGTTTCACTGCACTCGACTTCCATGGAGAAAGAAGTAATCGCTCCTAGCGGAGCTTCCCAAACCTCTTCCAACTGCAACCTCCCACTTCTGGAGATCAAAAGGAACCCCCAAAGACTTGAGTGCTTCACCCAAACAGTCTCTTTAACCTGTAATTGGAAACTCTCTTGTTGACTAGAGTTTTGGGGAAAAGATCAGTAGCCTCACTTTGTTGTCAATCTATAGTCAGATTCTGACGCTCCAAACCTTCTACCACGTAGGCATAAAAGTTTCTAAACAATCAGTCCAATAAAAAGAAGGAAGGAAGACCTGCTCTAATACCAAGATGTCATTCAGTCCAATAAAAATCTGTAAAATATTTTCAGATTATAGCAAGAGTGTAAAGAGAAGAAGAAGAAGAGTCTGATGGTCTCCTCTTCCACCTCTCTTATCTTTTATTAATCTTACTAAGATTGAACAAAATTACAAGTCTTCCCTTGAGTGGGTGGCCAGCTCATCAACATATACTTAAAAAAAACATAAAAGGAAATAACAGGCCCATAGAGGAAAGGCCCATTAGAAAACAAAACAACTTGAAAGAACTAATAATAAGATAATAATGGGCTAGGGCACATTCAGCCCAGTCTCTCTACAGCCCTAATGTTTCTTCTCTTTCTCTTGATTGGCTGTTTCAATCACCTTGAAACTTCAGATCTGAATTATCCCAAGTCAGTTTTAATCATATCTATAAATTTTTCTGGATCAAATTTCGTTTGGGGGTGTATTTCCCTCTTCTCTATTTGACGATCTAGTAAACTTACCTTTTTTGTACTGTTATCTGTTTTCAACCTTTGTCTGGTTGATCTGTAATTGGGTCTTGATCCCCTTTGTGCTGTGTGACCACTCACATATCTGTTATCAAGTTTTTAGTCTATTTGGTGGTGCAGTTTCCTTGTTTTCCTTGGATTTTCTTGAATCCTTCTGCTGTAATGGTTTTGGAGAGAAGAGATATTTCTGCCAGTGAAGTTTAATGGGACTAATTATGCATTCTGTAAGTTTCATTTCTAGATATTTGTTGAAAGAAATGGTCTCTGGGGGTGTGTTGATGGCACCACAAAGTATGATTTCAAAGGGCTAGACCAATGAAAGATTGATAATGCCAAAGCTGTATCTTAGCTTCTTGGTTTAAGTGAAATTGACATTGCATTTCCATTGAGAAGTTTTCGGACTGCAAGTGAAATGTTTACCCCTATGGAAAAGGTGTATCAACAGTTTGACATAACTCGTCAATATCAAATTGAGACAGAATTTTTTTCTTATAGTCAGGGTGAAAAGAAAATACAGTACTATGCTGGTTTTATAAACCTATGGATTGAGTATGAGTTGGTTCATATGGGTGAATCTACTTTTGCTTGCTGCATTAAAGCTATGAATGAACATTTTGGTAGGAGAAAGACAATGCATTTTTTAATGAATCTAAGACCTGAATACAAAGTTATAAGGTCAAATATTCTTTGTAGGGGTACCTCACCCACTCTTGTCATCTTAATTGTTGTTCTTCTCCCAGTCATTGTGGATTATTGATTCTGGTGCCTCTAACCATATGACAGGGGCATATACTAGTCAGTCTTTTAAACCTCAATCCTTGAAAAAACATGTTGCTACTACTAATGGTGAAAAATTGGACATTGTTGTATGAAATGATCTGTCCTTATCTATTTTTGCTAATTCCCATTTTCATCTTCCTTAGACTATTTGTTCCTAAACTTGCAACAAACTTGATTTCTGTTAGCCAATAAGTTGAGGATGGTAACATTGTTTCCTTTTCTCATTATGGTTTTTCTGATATAGGACCAACACACTAGGACAATGAAGGGGAAGGGGTGTAGGTTGGGTCGACTATTTGCCTTGGAATTCGAAAAGACACTAGTGACTTCTTCTACATCTTGTTCAGTTATTACTACTCCTAGATTTGAAGTTGTTTACAGAAACAATTTGTGGCATAGGCGTCTTGGTTATCCCTATGCAAATAAATTAGTCTTTATTTCGTGATGGTTCTCTTTTGAAGTTACTTTTTTTAATAATGATAATAAAAGTTTCTTTTCTTGTTGCTTGAGTAAGAGCTGTGTTCTACCTTTTTCTTCTTTTGTGGAGCATGCATCTATTCCCTTTTAACTGGTACATAGTGCTGTTTGTTTGTCTCCTGTTATTTCAAGGTTGGGTTATAACTATTTTGTTACATTATTGATGATTTCACGTTCTTTACCTAGATATACTTTTTGAGAAACAAATCTTATGTTTTTCCCATCTTTAAATCCTTTTTAGCTAATATTAGAAATCAATTTGATGCTAATATTGGGGTTCTCCATTCAAACTCAGGGGACGAATATTTTGATGGAAATTTTCAAATCTTCTTGAGAGAATGGAATTCAATCACAAAGATCTTCTCTTGACACTCCACAACAAAATGGAGTGGCAGAGCGCAAGAACAAACACATTTTGATTATTGTCCGAACCCTGCTCCATGATTCACGTGCTCCTACTTTCTTTTAGGCATAAGTGGCCAGCACTACTGTGTACCTTATCAACCTTCTTCCTTCCTCTATTTTGCATAATACTTCTCCTTTTCAGAACCTATTCCATTGTTCACTTGACTTCTTTGTCCATGTTTTTGGTTGTTTGCTTCATTCATCTTCCACCTCATGAGTTCACAAAACTCACTCCCTAATCAGCAGTGTGCGCATTTGTAGGATATGGCCCTGAGCATAAGGGTTTCCTCTGCTATGACCCTCATTCTCATTGGATTTGTGTCCCATAATGTTATTATCCTTGAGAATATTTCTTTCTTCGCTCACATTGCAAAACTTTCTGCTACTTCTATTTTGGTGCTACATTCTTTTGACTCAATAGGTTCATCCAATTTAACTCCTGTTCCAGAACTACTTCGTGTCTCTTTCAGGAAGAGGCTAGCTGTTTCAGCTCCTATAGCTCCATCCTCTTCATCACCTACGCAGGTTTACCATCTTCGGGGATTCATTAATGTGCTGTGGGTTTGGAAAGCTTTTTCTTGGCTTATGTAAGGTTCAGGTGTGTGAGTTTGTGGGTTTTTGGTGAGTGAGTTTGAAGGTGAGGCGAAGGATGAGAGAAAACGAAGTTACCAGGAAGTGAATGGAGAGGAAAACAGAGAGGGGGAAAAGGAGATAGGAGGGAATAAAGCTGAAACAACTAAGGGAAGAGTCAATATTAATAAACTAGTAGATAGACAGGTGGCAGTTGGGAAATCTCTGGGCCTTCTCCTTTTAGGGGGAGAAGCGGTAGTGAGGAAGGCAATCAAGCAATTTGAACAAAATAGAAGGCATGAAAAGAACAAGAGAAGCGCATTTGGGGAAGGGGATGAGAATTTGGGGGTCCATGGCTGCGTTATGTTGGGTTCTGGGCTCAGTTGGCTCTTGAGGTTGCTTTTTGTTTTGGTCGCTGGTTTTCTGTTTTTCTTTTGGGCTGGTTGGGGTGCTTGTTGCTTGGCGGCCTTTTGTTTGGGATTTGGTTGCTTATTGTTGTTTTTTTGCTCTTATGGAGGTGTTTTCTGAACACTGTCCTAGGATATAATTGTTTTTTTCCTTTTTAATAAATTTTTCTTTTTACTTTTCAAAAAAAACAAGAGTACTAAGATCAATCAGAAACCCAAAATAGATGTAAATACCAAACTTAATAAGATTTAGCCTTCAGAGATGTTTACAAATTCTACAAGAGTGATAACAACAGTTGTGTATGCAATAACTGAGACAAAACTATGTCTGGCCTGGAATATGTCCCAAATTCCAGAATATTTTAGACATCCAAAAATTTCCAGACCACTTCTAATCATTCCCAAACTTCAAAGCACTCTAGGAACTATCATTGATCCATAGAGTTATGTAGGTAAAGAACTCAGATTTGCAGTTCCATGGTTGCTTCTTAGTTTTACACTAAACGATCAGGAAAAAATTGAAAAGGCTTCAAATGTGGTTTAAACCAGCACCAAAATTCTTTTAAATCCTGAATTATGAGAATATAGGGTTTCCTCTGACTAATATACCTTTCCATATGGTTGCTGACTTCACCTCTACGGCTAACAACATCAGCAACTGACAATATCAACCCTCTGTGTTATCTCCATTATTCCTTCCCACTCTGATACCAGGTTGCAATTTAGTAGAAGAAGAAATAGGTTTCAATCTAAGAGAGAGAGAGAGAGGAAGACAAAAGAGGTAGAGAAAAGAACTAGAGAGATTGGAAAAGAGTGTTATCCTAATGGGCCCACTCATCCCCTTCATTATTTATACAAAAACCAGAAACTCTAAAATGTACCTTTATGTTCATTATATTCTTTTTTCTATGCATCATCGACCCAAGTAACACCATTCAAACAAGCAATTAGTTGAGGGCTCCAATTAATCAAATCACAAAGGAAAAGAATGTTTAAGGTCAGGTCACAAAGAGGGGATTAGATTTTGGCACAAATTAAATTACCATGATTATGCCAATTAACACCATTGCCAAATTGTGCAAGATGCACATATGTGATGAGAAAATGATCAATTTGTTTTCCTTAAAAGCATTTCAAAAGTATTAACTTTCATATGACCTCTTTCTCTCTCTCTCTCTGAACTAGTGAGGCTGCACTGCATGGTTTAAGACTAGCCCAATCTTTGCAATGGCACAATTTGGATGTGGAAAGGAACTCCAAAACAATAATTGGAGGATAGCTTAGAAAATCTGATAAAGCTTCATGAGTTTATAGTGGTATCATGAAGGAGACAAAGCAACTAACACAGAATTTAAGAGTCTGCTTCGAATGGACACCAAAGACTATCAACTTCATGGTAGATGGGTGAGCAAAACCTAGAGCTAACAGGGAAAAATTATTTTGGGGTTTGGTCCCATAAGGGAAGTATAAATATTATGATTTGTGGGTAACGAAAATAGGACAACTCATGGGATGCTCCTGGAATAGCATCGTGCACATAATACTCTTTTAATCAAATTAATAAAGATTCACACATACTGGTCAAAAAATTGACATGATATTTTGTTGTAAATGATTACCTAGTTTGACTCTTAAGTGCTAAAATCAAAATTCTTTTACAGGGGCAGACAATAGATATGATGTACAGAATTGTAGGACAGGCACTTGACAATGCTGGCCTGTCTAATAAATGTCATCCTCAAGATTTTTTGAACTTTTATTGCCTTGGTAAACGTGAACCTGGTTCACCAGACAGATCATCACAAACAAATCCTTCTGAAAACAATGCACAGGTGTTTTTCTTTCATTTCCTTCTACCCTTCTCTGGTTAATAGTTTAGACTATTCTTGCACATTAGTCTTAAAATGTGAAGGATAATTCTCACGGACTATTAATGCAAAGTATGCCTTTCAGAATTATATTTCTGTTTTAAGCTCCCTTGGTTGCATGTAAACTGGATTTAAATATTTTCATAGAAAATGCTATTTTGTGGTTTTTGGTTTCGTGTCTGTAGAAAACAAATATTTTGCACAAATTGAGTAGCAGTTCAAGAAAAATCATTTTATTTTTCAGTCTAGAATTTCTTACAGGTGAAACAAGAAGAAGCATACACAAAATGGGGGATCTAGGAAACAAATATAATGCCCTCAGCCCCAGTTTCATAAGATGCAAAATGACTTTCCTACAAGAAACTAAATGGATGGCTAAAACAGCTAAAGAAATTGATGCGTACAAATTACGATATACAAGAGAGGTGAACAATAGAAATGGTGTAGTGATAATAGTAAATGAGGATTTAAAAAAATGAAATGTAAATGTTAAAATAATTGGAAATAGAAAATTTTTAATTAGACTTGTTTTAGGTGAGGAAATCATTAACATAATTAGTGCTTATTAGTGCTTATTGCCAATTATGGGAAGGTTTAAGCCAAGAAATTACAAATGCAGAGTAGATTTTTATAGGAAGAGACTTAAATGGGCATTTAGGGAAAAGAAGTGTAGGATATGATATGGTGCATGGAGGATTTAGGTTTGGGGAGAGGAATGAATCAGGGGGTACACCATTAGATTTTGTTGCAGCTTAGGATATGACAGCTTAAACACCTTATTCCAAAAGAAGGATGAACACTTAATAACATTTAAAAGTGGATCAAATATAAGTTAAATATATCTTATCCTTACTAGGAGAATAGAATGAATGAAGTGTAAAGATTGCAAAGTTATTTGGGAGAAAGCTTAACAATACAACATAGATTAGTAGTTGTATATGTGTGCATAAGGAAATGGAAGAAAAATAGGGAAGAAAATATGTGTCTAAGAATTAGGTGGGAAAACCTAAAAGGAGAAAAAACAAGCTTAATTTAGAAATAGGTTGATAATTGTAGAAAATTGGAATTTAGATGGATAGATTAATGATATTTGACTTGAAATGGCTAACAACATAAAAAATTTGCAAAAGGGTATCTTAGGAGAATATAAAGGGAAATGAAAGTGTACTAAAGAAACTTAGCAAAGTTGAGAGAAAGGAAATATGGGAAAAAATAAAACCATAAGAAAGAAAGTTAGAAAGAAAGTGAGTGAAGTTAAATATAGAGCTTATGACGAGCTTTACCATAAATCAGGCACTACAGTGGAATAAAAAGGAATGTCTAAATTAGCAAAGTTGAGAGAAAGGAAAGGTAGAGATTTAAACCAATGTTAGGTAAATTAAACATGAAGATCAAAGTCTGGGTAAAAGATGAGGAAATCAAACATAGATGGAAAAACTATTTTGAGAAATTATTAAATGAACAGAAGGGTGCTGATGGAGGAGAAGCTAGCAATACTAGTAGTGTTAAAAATAATGCACACAATAGTAAAGTGTAGGAAACTATGGACCCCACATTAAGTGTATTCGTGACACCCTGAGATGTACTTAGATTTAATTGATTAGGATCAACTTTCCTAGTAGGATTTGTTTTATTCTATCTTATCTAAGATTAGTTTTATTTTAATCTTATCTTTTATTGCCTTGTAAGCATTAAAGTTCTTTTACAATTAGGAAACTATGTATATAAATTAAGGAGTGGGGCGGCTGTTTTATGCACTCCAACCACTCTCTTCTTTCAAAGCTTCTCCCACGTGTGCTCCTCTATCTCTCTTCTTCTCTTCTTCTCTTTTATTTTCTGTTCAAAACCTAAAGAGTATCTGTAGTCTTGTATGACTACTTGGTATCAGAGCCAAATTTAGGGCTTCTCATGTGAGTTTGATCCAGCCGACCACATGAGAACTGCCTAGGGCTGGAAGAATAGAGAAATCTCCCTTCGGCTGATTCTTGGAGGTTATCTACAGCAGCAGTCAAAAGATTGGATCAGATCTTTGATAACCAGGAAGAATCARAGGAAGAGAAGAGGATCAAGATCAGTTCTTGATCAAGACTAGAGGTGGCGATAAAAAATTCAGAAGAATTCTGCTTCAAGATCGGTTTTTTCTATTCAAGACAAGTTGATTATCAAGATCAGAGTTTCTCAGAATTTTCTGGTAAGTTTTCAAGCCTTTTTTGAAATCAGCGGCAAAGATCTCTTGATATAAGAGGTACGGTTAAGAAAAAAGCCCTTCCTTTCTGCATTCCTTTTAGGGTTTAAGAGAAAACCCTCAAGTTTCAGGGCTGTTATTGCTTCGGTGAGGTAATAAGATTTGTCTCCCTTGATTTTTTCCTTTGCTCTTTGGAAGATCTATTAATTTTTTTTTTTTCAACAGGACTGATACAGTTTAGTCTCAATAGGCCAATTGTCACAAAATTAGGGTTTCTGAATCAGAACCCTCCTGTTACCTGCTACAGACCCAGTAGGCCAATTGATACAGTAATTAGGAAGCATTCTAATGGAGTTTAAAAGCCAAGGGGAGGGTGTTTTTGGGGCTGATTCAGGCAGCATGGCTGAAAACACCTTCCAGATTACAACTGTAAAGTTTGATGGTTCAAACTACTTAGAGTGGGCCCAATCAATCATGATGGCCATTGGGGGAAGAGGAAAGCTGAACTATTTGTTGGGAGATGTGAAGGAACCAACCAAGGAGGATCCCACTTATGCTAAGTGGATTTAGGAAAATTATTTGGTGATGACATGGCTGTGCAACTCTATGCAGCCACACATCTGCCGAAATTACTTATGGGCAAAAACATCTAAAGAAATTTGGGATGCTCTAAAAGAAACCTACTCTCAGCCCCTTAATGTTGCTAGGGCTTATGAGCTGAAATGTGAGGTCAAAAATCTCAGACAAGGGGAGAAACAAGTCTCTGTTTATTTCTCAACCCTAAAATCCCTGTGGCATGAGATTGACCACCTTGAGACAATTGAATGGGAGAGTTAGAAAGATGCACAAACTTACAGAAAGAAAATTGAAACTAACAGAGCATTTGAGTTCTTGGCTGGTTTAAATTCTAAATATGATATTGTAAGACAACAGCTACTGACAAGAGAAAGTGTGACTCTATCAAGCCTATTCCCTAGTGCACAGTGAAGATACTAGGAGAAAGGTTATGCTACAACAACAGTCTTTCGAATCTGCCTTGACAGCAGTTAAACCCAAGCCAGGGGGAGATAAGGAAAGGGATATAAAGAAAGAGGCTAAAAAGGACCTAGTTTGTGAACATTGCAAGAAACCTAAACACACCAAAGACACTTTTTGGATGTTGCATCCACATCTAGTTCTAGAAAAACTCAGAAACAGAAAGGGTAAGGTCAATATGGCTGTCAACACTGATAGTGTAGCCTCAACGGCTTCAAGAGGTACCCCTCTAGATACTCTAGCTACTGTCCGAGCTGCTCTGACACAATTAGAAAGTGAAGTCAGTAACTCAGTATCATCTCCTCAGCCATCATCAGCTCCTTCAACCTCATCTTTTGCTCAATCAGGTAATTGGGCCTCAGCTTATCATGCTTCAGCTCCAGGTAATACAGAACATTCTTGGTTAATAGATTCAGGAGCATCTGACTATATGACTGACTTGCCATCACTTTTCTCTACCTATCATTTATCTTCTGGTAAAGACATAGTGTCCATTGCTGATGGATCCCTTGTTCCTATTTCTGGCAAAGGAAACATCAAGTTGTCTAATGCAATTTCCCTATCCTCCGTTCTGCATGTTCCTAAGCTAATACTAACTTGCTCTCAGTTAGTAGCATTACAAAAGGGCAGAATTGTTCAGTAACCTTTTTTCCTGATCGATGTGTTTTTTAGGATTTGGAAACAAGGAAGGTGATTGGGACTGGTCGTGGGACAAATGGAATCTACCTACTTGGAGGAAGTGCTTATCAGGAAGATAGTGAAACTAGGAAATCCTTTGTTTCTCAGTCTGTTGATCAGGTGATGCTTTGGCATAATAGATTGGGCCATTATCCTTTCAGGCTTTGAAAATTTTGTTTCCCAATATATTTGAATCTGTCCAGATGACTAGTTTGAAATGTGAAAGTTGTGAGTTTGCAAAACATTGCAGGACTACCTATTCATTAAGTAATAATAGAAGCAATATTCCTTTTGAAATTGTGCATATTGATGTTTGGGGATTCTATCATACTACTGCCATGGGGGGGGGGGGGTACAGATATTTCCTATTATTTGTTGATGATTACACTCGATTTTCTTGGGTTTACCTTATGCGTTCTCGAGATGAGGTTCCAACATTAACCTGGATCTTTCATCAAATGATTTTTACCCAATTCGGGGTCAAAATTAAAATTTTTAGATCCAATAATGCAAAAGAATATTTTGCAAACTCATTAGCCTCCTACATGCTTGATCATGGGATTATCTATCAGTGTACCTGCCCACATACATCACAGCAGAATGGGGTTGCTGAAAGAAAGAATAGACACATATTGGAGGTAGCTAAAGGCATTATGTTTACCTTAAATGTGCCTATACGTTTTTGGGGGGATGCTGTTCTTACAGCTATTTATCTCGTCAACCGGATTCCCTCATGGGTTCTTGACACAAAGACTCCATTTACCCTTTTATACCCTGATAAAGAATTGTTTACCATTCCCCTCAAAACCTTTGGGTGCACTTGCTTCGTTCAAATCCTTGGCCCTCATCATTCCAAATTTGATCCCAAGGCATCCAGATGTATTTTCCTTGGTTATGCCCAAACTCAAAAGGGATATTGCTGTTATGAACCGACTTCTGGAAAAAGATTTGTCTCAATGGATGTTCCCTTCTTTGAGGATAAACCCTATTATCCAAGGGTTTCTCCTTAGGGAGAGAATAGTGAAGTTGGGAGTAGCTCATCGGAAGTTCTTTTTCCAATCCCATT